GCAAGTATAAGCTAACTTCTATCTTTACTATAAATTATTGTTTAAAAATATTTTTTTGAAATTTTGTATTATTATAAATTGGGGCAATTACAAAAATGCCACTTTTTGTGTGCACATTTGCAAGAATGTCACTTAGGGGTGTNNANNNANAAAAATGCCACTAATTATAGATTTATGAGAAATTTCAAAAAATGCCACTTTTCAAGTGCCACTTTACAAAAATGCCAATTTTTCAAAATTATTTTTTCTTTATATTATTTATGTTTGGGTTAATTATGTTCTATTAGGGTTTAGTTTTGAATGTTTAGGNGGTTTTAGGTGTCAAAACATTTTTTANGGTTTAGAATTTTAAGATATAGGTTTTATAAATTTATAATTAGTGGCATTTTTGTAAATGAACACCCCTAAGTGGCATTCTTGCAAATATGCACATAAAAAGTGGCATTTTTGTAATTGTCCCTAGATTTATAAAGCCTATATTTTAAAATTCTAAACCCTAAAAAATGTTTTGACACCTAAAACCCCCTAAACACTCAAAACTAAACCATAATAGAACATAATTAACCCAAACATAAATAATATAAAGAAAAAATAATTTTGAAAAAGTGGCATTTTTGTAAAGATTTTAAAAGTGTGGCATTTTTGTAAAGTGGCACTTCAAAAGTGGCATTTTTAAAAATTTCTCTTATAAATTTTGGTAATTTAACAAATTAATTTCGTTTCTGAAATTAAAATTGAAAATATAATTAAATATTTAAATTAAACCTTCAAATTATGTATTTTCGTAAATTTATTTTTTTGGAATTTTTTTGTTTTGTTTTTTTTGAATTTTGTAATTTTAGAAACTTGAGATTTTACAAATTTAATTATTATTTTTTTTTATATTTTTGAAATTTTATGGATTTTCTTTCAATTTGTTAAATTTTGTAAGTTTTAAATTTTTTTGGATTGTTTATTTTTTTTTATGAAAATAATTACAAATTGACCACCAAATTGATAAATATTTATCAAAAGACACCAATTTGTAGTTTTTAACATATTTACATATACTTGGTATATGTTACCATGTATTATATAATAGTTTGTGTAGTTTAGAATTCATTTCTATATTTAGGATGATTTGCAACATATTAACCTAGTTAAAAATGATTTTTTATTTATTTGCTTGTGGGTTGAAAACCCTACAATAGACTTGTTCTTACACGTTTATATTAGGTCCAGTGGACTCTAATGGGCTTAATAATCTCATTATAATTGGGCTTTTATTGTTGAGTCCAGCTCAGTAAGCAGTGGGACCACGCGTCACTACAGTCTCACTCACCTCTCAATGCCCCCAAATTAAACCATTTCGAAAAACGCAAAGTGAAAAAAAAAGAAGAAAATCTAGATCGGAAAAATCCGTACGGTTCCCGCCTCAACGAAATAAAAAAACCCTAATTTCCCTCCCAATCAGATAAAATTAACCACCGACGGATTAGCCCAAGTTTTGTCATTTCATCGTCCTCCTCGTAATTCCAAGGTACGATTCGATTCCGCTTTCTTTTTTGATGCAATTTCTCAATTTTCTCGTTTGCGAAATCGAAGT